TGGATGGATGGATGGATGGATGGATGGATGGATGGATGGATGGATGGATGGATGGATGATGGACAGACTCATGGATGGATGAGTGCAAGATGTATATATTGATGGAGGAATGGAAGGATGGACAGATGACTGAGTGAACGTATGGAAGCAGAGATAGATGAAATGTTAACGGATCCAAGGAAGGATGAACAAATTAATTAAACCTCATATTGATACATGGATGGATGAATTATTGGACAAATAGGAGGATAAATGAGTGAATGCATTAATGTATGGAAGTAAGCATGGATGGATGGATCAAAGTCTAGATGTATAAATGAATGCTTGGATGGAGGGATGAATAAATGACTAGATAGACAGATGACTAAAACTTTTAGATAAAAGAGTAGATAATAAATACATTTTTCCTGTTGTTTATATTCTATATCCATCCAGACTCAATCATTCCCTTTCCTGACTTCATAGACACCCTGCCTACAGGAGGAAACAGCTCATATCTATGGCTCTGTGATTTATGCTTTACCTTGAAGAGCCTTAAAACCTTGCAGAGGAACTCTGGAGGAACCTGTGACAAACTGCAACAGCCGGGCTCTGCGCTCTTCATCGAAAGACTCCACAGCCTTCCAGAACCATTTAACGATGTGGGTGTCCGGAGTGCAATGCTTCAGCCGCGTGTTGGACTTCCAGTCGTTGATGTCGATCTTACCCAGCCCGCATACGATCAGCTAGAGGTGGAGAAAGCATTCTGCGTGTTGGATTAAAAGAAGCCAGACGAAGAAAAACCACGGCAATGAAAACTAGCATACCTCGAGCTCCTTTTCATCGAAAGCTTTGAGCAGATGTTGAGGGATGACCTCATTGAAGCCCTTCTGCAGGGCCAGGAACTGGGCTTCAATGCCTCGCAGGAAGCGCCAGTTGACGTAGAGGCGGACGTACTCCTTCTTGCTATCCTGTGTGACGGGGATGCTTTTACCGTTGGGCTTCAGCTCATGCTGGATGATTTCTCCGTATGCGTTGTGCTCTACACAGAAGGTGTGGTCCAGCACACCTGTAATGTCGTTGTCCCTGGCGGCAGAATTACGTTTAAAATCAAAGTTAAAAGGGCAAACGTGCAAGTAAAGAATGGTTTAGAAGGAGTGACTCGTACAGGATCCAAACCAAGCTGTTGTGCAGGTCGGGATCGACGGACTCCATGTCGTCCAGGGTGATGGGTTTCCCCAGCAGCTGTTTGTAGAAGGGCAAAGTGAAACCCCCGTCAATGTAGTGGCCGTGGAACACAGCCATCCCCATGATGCGGCCTACGAAGTGAAAGTATGACAAATGCTCCTGAAAGGACAAAAAAAGGATGTTAATTTTTATTATCCAACAGGCTGTGCTCTAAACAAAGATGCTTCTTTATTCCGCTTTTCCTGCTGGTTTTGTCACAACCAAGAAACTCACAGGATTTACAGCAGAATCTGGGTTGATCTGCAGCGTGTAGATGTCATCGCGGGAGTACTGGAAGAGGCCGTAGTAAGGGTTCAGCATCTCGTGTGACAGCAGATAGAGCCACTCCCTGCAGAGGACAAAAAGCAGGGATGGTGGAAATGATGGGCTGAGGAATACACTCAAAGCATCATGCAAAAGTTTGCTTTTTTTGTCCTTTAACTTCACCTTTTTAAAAACAGTGCAAGAGAATAAATTGGAAGAACTGGGGATGCATTTTCACTTAAAAGCACAACCCTTTGCGTACATTTAGGGCATCACCGCTGCAATTTATCTGTCCATCAACAGCCTAGAAAGGCATATTGTGTCGTATAATAAAGGGATTTGTTGTAATGCTGAAAAAAATATGGATAAAATTATAATTCTAGAGCAGTGTGGTCTTTGTAGATTAAATTATGAAATCAAAAGCTTAACATGTACAACTGGAACCAAGTGGAAAAGAAACTAAACCAATTCATGAGAATTTGTCTAACTAGTATCAGTAATTATATTACAAATCTGAATAATATAAAGGTAAAAGAAGAGAACTTGGAGAACTAAGCTCTAGTGGTGGACGTTTGTTTTTGAGATGGAGGTATAGTTAATGATTTAATAATTGCCAACATAACTGTTTGTGTTACTGCTCTCCCTGTTTGGCATATTTCTGTTCCCTTTTATTATGGCTGATTGTTGCCAATGACCTGCTGTCAGAGTTAGTTTGCTGGTCAGTAGAGCCCAACTCATAGAGCAGAGGTCACGGATTAGTGGACCGCGGTCCAGATCCGGAACCCCCTGCTGACTAATCCGGACCAAACCTGATTTAAAATGTTTATAAATTACCGCATGATGTCCGACGAAAGTGTCTAATTTCACTTGCGCCGCTTCTCCTGTTTGTACGGTAAAGCCCTCCAGAGCGCCCAGGATCAGGCTACACGTGATACAAATTAGCCAATGAGCTGCTGTCAGTCTGGGTTGCTGCTGTTGCTACTTTAAGACACGGCAGGCAAACCTGTGGCAAGCCGGGCAATGGGGAAGAAGGAGAAGACGAGAAAAAGAAGGCAGAGAAAGTGTGGACTGCTGGAAGAACTGCAGTCAACTGGCGAAAGAAAAGTGAAATGGTGTGCTCTAAGATGACCCTGCACATTTAGAGGATGTTTGGCTCAACCTGCTGCTGTGAAGCAGGATTCTACACCATGAACATTATCAAAAATAAATATGGATCCAGGCTCAAAATGAGCTCCTTGATATCTGCACATTTAGAGTATGTTTGGATCAACCTGCTGCTGTGAAGCAGGATTCTACACCATGAACATAATCAAAAATAAATATGGATCCAGGCTCAAAATGAGCTCCTTGATATGTGCTTGAGAATGGCTTTGTCTCCATTCAAACCCAGGTTTAAAGCCCTGCAGGGCAGCCTAAAGCTCCCTTCGTTTATTAAGCCGTAAAAATAAATAAATAAATAACAAACAGTGATTTCAGGTGTTTTATAAAATATGTGAATCAGGAAATTGTCTCTTTACCAAACTGAACGATACTTTAGAATTTATATGTATTCATTTTATTTAAAAAGTCAATGTATTGATAAATGGATGGTTGTTAAATTCTGTTTAAGGTAACAGATTATAATTAAAAATGTCTCCTTTACTGGTTGATGGTTTTCTTCATTCGGACCCTGCTGATTTTTAATTGGTTAGCCCCGCCATAGGGGGTGAAATTAAAAGCACTCAGAGCAGCTTCAGGCTATAGCCGGCTGTTCGATGGGCCGCTAGCTTGCCAGACTCAAAAGTAGTCTGCTTTCCATATTCTCCACAGCGGGTGTTCTGTGGGCTAGCAGGGATAGTCAGATCCAAAACAGACTCTTCTCTCCAACTATGGCTTGATTCACACAGTAAATGGGCTCAAAAGCATAAGCAATATAATTTAGGCGTTTCAGTGTCGCTTCAGCTTCGCCTTCCATCAAACTGTTTTAAGAGTTTCATGGTTGTGTTGTGTCTCCGGTGTAGCTAATGTATTCAATTGGTAGCTAAATCATTGACCGACCCTGTGACATCACTGTCACTGGAGTACTGCAACATTTCAGTGACCTTGGCAAAAAAATATAAAATAATGTTTTCTTTTCTTTTCTATTTATACTTTTCACATACAGTATATAATTATCGATAAAAGTAAGATACAATCTTGTGAATTAAGTAACGTTGGTTGACTGTTTCATTTTCTCTTTAACAAGAAACAGACATTTTGCTCATCTGTCTTTCCAAATCTGCCTCCTTCAGACTGAGTTAGACTGACCTGAGTTAAACCTGAGTTAGACCGATTCACCAGGGGCTAAATACTTTTGGCTGATATTAGCAACGTTTTCTTGTATGGGTATTGGCAGATATACGCATGAGTTAGCTGATTCATTAGTGCATTCAGCAGCTATGAGATCAAGTAAAGTGCATGCATTGCCGCTCTCTCCATTTGCTATCCATGTAACACTTATTTTATTGTTGAAGCATGTTTATTTCATTTCAGCAGGGATAATTTGTAATACTTGTCATCACTGTGTCATTTCTATTATTGGATTCAAAGATCTTCTTTCTCTCATCTGGGTTATTTTTGTTTTTACTACAGTAGTAGCCTTTCAAAGAAGTAGACTTTCTTTGATGGGTCCTTGGCTGGTCCCCTACAATTCGTTTTTAAACCCCAATATTTGTACCGAAATATTCTTTCTGTCATGATTTGTGGACATTAATATCTAAAGAGAAGCATCATCTCCTGGTCAGACCCTGTAATTCAGGGAAAGGGTGGAGTCAGAATAAAAAAATATGCAGGAGGGGGTCACTCCGGTGGCTGGAAGTTGGACGGGATTTTGCTGGGAGTTGCAGGGAAGTTGGCTGCCATTCGGCTGGTGTTTGACTGGGAAGGGCCATTTTGAATGGCTGCTAATGTAAATACTAATTTGGCAATTTTATTATTGATTATTTTTGGTCACCATGTTGTCTGAGAGGAGGAGCAGGCCAGGAAGGATGCTAACAGTTTAATTAATAAGAACATATAAACCAAAATGAGAGAGTCCCTATATAGGTTTTGGCAAATTGAAACCAGATCTCTTATGGCTTTCTTGTAGAGGACTGATGAAATCAAAGAGTAGGTCCAGGTTAATCGTATGGATGTAGCAGGTTAATCTGCTGCAACACATTGAGAATGTCCAGAGGTGACCCCTGAACAAAGGTGGAGCTTTAAGGATTCAATTGCAGAGTAAATATAAGCTAATTTTTCATCTTTGTAAAATATGTCATAATATTCTTAGCTTAACCCAGGCAATAAAATAAACTGGACTTTGTGGTTACATAAAGCTCAGAGGGATATGAACAGTTTTGTGAGCCACTGCATGTGGTGTATGCCTGATGGACACAGCCTATTCAGAGCAATAAATCGGCTATAAAAGGCAAAACAACGGTGAATGCTTTAAATCATAGGCTCCGCTAACCTGGCCACTCCTCCGTAGTCGAGGCCTTCTTCACCTCTGAACTTCACCATCAACCGTTTCCATAGGTCCTTAGGCCTCATCTTCATCACCTGCCGATATGATTCCTGCAAAACAGACACACATCATCAAAGTCGGTTAAATATCAAAGGAACATCTCTTTGTGTCTTACTGAAGAGTTTAAGGGATGATCAGGGCGAGTCACGGATTCAACTTTTCTAATCAACCAGACCTACCTCCTTCTGAAATTAAAAGATCAGCTATGACTGTGTGCAAATGCATGACATTTGACTAATTACAGTCACAGCGTACACATTTCATTATGCTGCTATAGGCTTGAGCTGCTTGAGGACAAAGGGACAACTTCATATCATTCTGCCTCTATTCACCACTTCTGCAGTATTTGTCATTTCAACCCCTTACTATTTTATTCTCATCATAGCAGCTGAGAAATACCAGCATGGCTGCTGCCTTCAACGACCTTTGCACAAATACATAGCTATGGGGTCAGCTTTTACCGTGACTAACTGTATGTGCTCTTTTTCATCCTCTTGACATGAAAAACGGCTCAGAGATAATCTTTTTTACCGTTTCTTTCCTAGTCAGAGCCGCTTGAGGAGGTAGTTTACTATTAACTTTTCCGACATCAGTGTTTCTAGGTTTGTTTTTTATGCCTGCTTCAGTGTCTTTGAACCCCTAGCAAGTCTTGGCAGACGGCTGCCAACACTGAGCCTGGTTCTGCTGGAGGTTTCTTCCTGTTAAAAGGGATTTGTTCCTCTTGACTGTTGCTGCATGCATCCTCAATGTGAGGGATTGCTGTTTAGTCAATGACAAAAGCGAATATCTACTGTCACCACATCGTCAACCAGGAGGAACATGTTCTGCAAGTCAATGATTCCATCCATGGATGTTGGATTGTAAAATGCCTGAGATTACATGTTCTGAGTCTGCATTATACAAATAAACTGAATTCAATTAAATATATATATATATACATATATATATACATATATATATATACAAAATGAGCAGTATGCATATGAACAGCTAATTTTATCATTACTAAATTAAAAGGCAGGCTTCAATTCTCCTGCAAAGGTAGAAGCAAACATTTTATGCATATATTGTTTCATGGCAGAAGAGCTGACTACTCAGGCTTTAGGATGTTCTTTAGCTTGATCAGAATGAAAGCTTTTCAATGTTAAAACTGGATTATGTAAAAAAAAAAAAAAAAAGGAAAAAAACCCCACTAGCATAATGCAGAACCTAAAGTCTACACCATTTGACTAAGACGGATCTTCAGAGATGTTAACTAACCCTTTCCTCACACTAGACTCATTTATTTCTAGGATGGAGGGAAGGTCAACCCTAATGATCCTTTCTGCAGACCTTATAGTTTGTCGCTTCACTGCACACAATGAGTGAAACAGGTGTTTTAAGACGCGCTAATTAAAATCAAATGTTTAGATCATCCTTGTTAAAATGTGTCATTGTCAGCTTTCACCACAGTAGCTCTGATACGTTGAAAACTTGGTCAGGGTGGCCGCTTTCTTGGAGCTGCATGCAAATGAGCGACCGATTCGTGCAACATAGCACGGTACATGTCTCCAAGTCCCTTTTTATCTTGTATGATTGGTGATTTGTCACAGTGTTCAAAGTCCACAACATCACAGCTTCAAGTCTGGGCCTACGGTTGAACATTGTCTTCAATGCTTTGTGCATCACGTTTCAAAATATACAACTCGAAGGCCTTGATTCCCATCTAACTGAGCTTCAAACATCTCTTGCTCAAAATACACAGAGCCTCATATACATCCTCTGGTACTTGGCCACATTCTAGTAGAATTTACACTTTTCCCACGTGGTCTAAGGCAAAGCTAGATCTCCTCTGAGGCGAAGATCGCCTTTATTGGCTTTGCTATCAGGGCTGAGTGATGTTACAGCAAGAGCCGTTCTGTAAATTATTATGTGAATAAAAATAAAAAGCAAACTTTAGCAAGTATCGTCATATTCGGGAAAAATCACTATCATAAAATCCTATTTACGGTATGAAAGACTGATTTAAGACATTTTAATACCAATTAAGGCTTTATTTTCAGATTTATGAAATAACGCCAATTGTGCAAGAAGCCAGAAAGCTCCAGTTCAGTGTCAACAAGAGTAGTTTTAGATTTTAAACTCTACTCTGAGGCTGAGAGCTCTGCACCTCTGCCAGTGTTCTCCACACATGCAGACAGCTTACAGTGTTAAGTGGGAGGGCTCCTTTTAAGTGGATTAGAGGCATTTATAATAAACACAAGCATAAGACTCTAATAAGACTGCCTCTTCCTCTGCCAGGCTCCGCCATGCCCTCAGGATGGAGCAGACAAACACATGGCTGGGAGAATGTCTTATCTGCTCCATAAAAATAAACTCAGACACAGCTGTGAAAGTCCACCACCAAACAGTTTCCTATAGAGGCATAATTTACTGCCTGAGTTGGTCTGGAGAAGCTATGCAGTTATGTCTCTCTGAACCTTAAGACTTGCTCTACCCCCCCAGCCCCAACACTCCCACCCTCCCACATGTTGAGATCAGCCAACAAAAATGTCTTCGCTCAGATTAACAGACGCGGCTGTTCCAGCACATTCCAGCGCGTACTTTATGAGGGTCATGCAGTCTGCTGCAGGTGGTGTTGTTCTGGTGAAGGCTCTGCACCTCCTAGATGCAGAGAATGAAAAAAAAAACTCCCAGAAACAACCCTAAAGCTGCCCCCGCTGAGAGAATCCTCCTCGGATGGAGAGGTCTGGTTTGGATTTGGAGCAGCCGTACCGGCGCACATCATAGATAACGATGAGTGAGGGAAACATTCTCGTAGCCAGACGGCGCAGGGCATCGACCTTTAGTGGAGATCGTAAAAAAAGAGCAGCGGAGGAGGAGCTGAAAATAAGCTTCACTACAAGCAAATCTTTCAGGTGCACTGATAAGATATACCGACTGCTAAATTTAAGAGGGAAAAAAAACACACAAAAACAACGTCAGGATAGCAGGGATTCAGGGAAAAAAAGCTGTTCCCCGTTTATTCCAGGGTTAACTACAATGCATTACTAAAGTATTCACACCCCTGAATTTTTTTTATATTTAACTTTGTCACATTACAACCAGAGACTTTTTTGTTGGAGTTTATTTGATTTACCAAGGGGAATTAGCATAAAAACTGAAGTGGAAGGACGACAACTGAAAAGCATTTATTAGAAAAAAGCAAAGAGCTGCAAAGAAGAAACATGCAGTTAAAGCTAGACCAACATTTTCCTGTTTACTCTGGAGACGAGGAAATCTTCCATCATTAGCACGCTGAACGCTTAGTGAAACACGGGGGTGGAAGCATCATGCTTTTCTTCAGCAGACAGGGAAGCTGGTCACAATTGATAGGAAGATGAATGTAGCAAAATAAACGACAATTCAGTCTATAAAACCTGTTAGAAGAGGCGACAAGCTGGAAAATGAGGAACAGGTTCACCTTCAATTGAGACTATGACCCTAAATATCCATTCAGAGCTGTTCAGAGTTCAGAACAAGGCCTGTCTCTTCTAATGCTACAAACCGTACGCGCTTTTGGCAGCAAAGAAGCTTCAGCTGCTTCATTTCTTATGCTTGTCCACATAAAGGTCAGACGCGTCCAGTAAAGCTGGTAAAAAAGTAGTATTAATATATTTTTAAGCAAGAAAGTAAACCTCAAAACATTGTCTGTGCAGTCAGTTAATCAAGATTATGATCCTGCCTTAAAATTTTGTGTTTGGAAAAAATCCTCTTGGAGAAGACTCAAGAGGAGTTTCTCCAAACACAAAATCCCAGCACATTTCAGACCAAACAAGACCCTTAGAGAGAGACTAGTGCATCCTAAGGACAGAACCTCCAAACCTAAGATTATCAGAGTTGTATATGCAGTTAAATGCACTGAGGAATGCTCTGATTTTTATACTGGAGAAACCAAACAACCTCTAGACAGACACATGGCCCAACACAGACGGACTACCTCCTCCGGGCAAGACTCTGCGGTACGTCTACACCTTAAGAACAAAGGACATTCTTTTGAGGACTAGAATGTTAACATTTTGGACAAAGGAGACAAGTGGTTTTAAAGGGGTGTGAAGGAAGCCATTTATGTTAAGAGAGAAAAACCAACCTTAAACAGAAGGGGTGGACTCCCAAAAACCTATAATGCAGCAATAGAGTTGATTCCTTCTTACGATCATCCCAACCCCCATCCCCATGCAGGGGACCAAAACATCTTGCCTGGTCAGCCAGGCTAACGATGACCCTAAAGACTCCCTTTTCAGAGGCACAGGCCAATATTGGGGAGTGCAGGCTAACAAAAACCTCAACGACTCCCCGTTCCTAAGGGGTGGAACTGTTCTTCCGGTTCAATTTGCATGTCTTCTAAGCCAAAACAAGGCTTTGTTTGGGCTACTCTATAAAGCTTGGAACTCAACGCTAATCCAGACATTTTGAATTGAAAAAGCTTCCTGGGTGGGAAGTGAAATGTCTTCGAACTTGGAAAACAAAGTAGTGGTTTTTCTTTCAACTTTTTTGGTTTTCCTTCACAACTATGCTATTCTGTGCCGATTTATCGACAACTGTCCTGTAGTTTTCACATGATTTGAAAAGCCTTAAGGGTATAAATCCCTTTCTAAGGCACTGGATGTAGCGTTCTGTGAATACAGTCCCGGCTTTGTAAGCTTTAGATGGTATGCTGACCTCAAAGATCTCCTCACGGGACACCTCGATCCGACAGTGGCCAGCCTGAGGCTGCTGCTGGGACAGCTCCTGACGCAGGATCTTGAGTTTCTGAACGAGGTCTCTCTTGTACTTGGGGACGGTGAGACACTCTGCCTCTTCTGGGAGCTGGGCGGGGGACACCAGAGCCTGCTGGGCCTGATCCTTCACCTGGTTCTGACGACTGGAAGGCGTCAGAGATGGAAAAGGAAACAAGAGGGACAGAAAGGGACAAGATTAAGGAAGAACATGTTGAAGCAGCAGTTTCATTTACAAAACTATATGCTTCCGACAGCCTTTAATAACCTAAAACTCATTTCTAGAAATACATTCTATTGTTTTTACTAATGTATATTGTATGTAACTAGAGAATCGACATGTAACCTCTAACAAGCACTGCTACTTTTAAATAAGAACAGTGGTCTGCATGACATCAAGTTAAGACAAATGTCAGCCAAGATTCACCACTTATTTTAAAATCATTCAAAGGTTTTTGCTTTAAAGAGGCAATAAATTCCTTGAACAGTCAAAGCTTGTCTAAAATCTGCTGGATTCCCATGTAATTAAGCCTCAAGGTACTATAATAAATAAATGCCAAAGTATGCATTATTTATAACGACCAGCAGGGGGCAACTAAACCAGACTAAACATGCTTCAGTTTTCAGCCAAACTGGGACCTTTTAAAAAGTCATCTGTAGGAGAAAATTTAAAATAAACAAGGTAGTGAAATCTGCTTGTTTATACGCCAATAGTAATATATAAAGAGTATTAATAACCCCCCCAACCCCACCATTAAGGCTTATATTATATCATAACCTGGTCATGAAACTAGTAATGTACCAACCAGAAAATCAGTGGTGATTTTTTCAGGTCACCAGTGTGTAAAATATTCCAATTTCTCTGCAAAACCAAAATTTAACAGAACATTTTGACCTCTCTGGATATTCTAAAACAATAAACTGAACAATTTTGCATTTTATTCCCTGCTTTATCAGATAAAGGAGATTATAGTACACCAACACAATAATGCAGTTCTCCGTTATTGTGCACCTCAAATATTCAGGTCTAAAGAGAGTTTTATTTTCTAGTTGATTTCTTGGTGCGTTTATAATTGAAAGCAGTTCTATTGCTTAGGAAACGATCTGCTGATAATAATAAAGTAGATACAGAAGACAATTTTTCAACAGAGAAGACACAGAGAATCGTATGCTGCTCACTGCAGCAACCTAGAAGTTAAACACATTAGCCTCTGATTCATGTCCTGTTAAGCTTATTGACTTACAGACAGCTGCCACTATGCATGCAGCTGTAATTAAATAGAAAAGAAAAAACAACTAACTGGAAGTGGTAACAAATGACCTCCAGACAGAGCACAGTCGTTTAGGAGCTGCTTTAGACTCTAATGAACCCACCAAACCCAACAGACTGCATTCCAGTTCACCACAGCACCGTATTCTCTACAGCAAAGCCCCTTTTTGGTTTCTGGGGTCTCTACAGCAGAATCTAATCACTTCCTGCTACCCCAGAAAGCCACATGGCCCATAGGATGCAGGAGAGCTCCTTACAAATCCCTCTTATTTCCTACCAACAAGAAGGAGATGGGAGGCAGACAGCACCCAAACACAGCAGACAGCTCAGAGCGCGGGAGCATCTCTCTCCTTCTGCACTTTCACCCTTAAATTAGTCCTCTGATCTCCTCCCAGCTACTTATTAAAGAGCATGCCTGAAACACGTTACCTGAAAGTCCAAAGAAACTCAATTTGATCAATCACAAACATTTCCCTCTGGTGACAAATGCAATCCTGCAGAAACGGATTCGTTTACCTATTGGATGCCGACCTGGACCAGAAAGGGGGCCTGGACTCAGCAAGACAGCAACAGCACAGGGACGTCTTAACCAAAGCCATGCAGGGCTATAAACTGCAACTTTGATGGACATTATATATATCTGACATTTTTGTGGGATGACGGCACAGGAGAGGTGAAAATGGCTATAATCTCCGGCCTGATAAAAGGCAGATGTCTTGACAGAGAACCAGGAGGACCGATATATTTTCCAGATGTTTGTCACAAGCTAGACAGTCCCTTCAAAGTTAGCTCTGAAACTAAACAGAAAACGCAATAGATAATGTTATACAGAGTTAATATAAACAGAAAGAATTGATGCAGACTCCAGTTAAATCTTGTTACGATTTACAAACTCTGGCTAATGTTCCTAATATTGGTGAAAGACATTTCCTCCAGGATGGAACCGAAAAAGAAAAGCTCATGCGTGAAGAAGGAAGCAGAGAAGATACAGAGCTGTATGCTTTCTAGTTCTAGTAGAGATTGCTAATACAGTTTAAGAATCTAATCTCTGATGTATTTCCTACCAAATCTGATCATTTGATTTTTAAGTTTCATAATAAAAATGAAAAATTTTGCTTTCCAAAAACACCTTTCGGTGCTGACCTTATTTCAAATAACTGACCTTTTAATTTAATTCCAAAAGAAATTAAAGCTGTAGAAAGGCTGGAAAAAAATGTTTCACAACGAACGATGAAGATAACCAACTACATTTTTGCATCTATCACACAATCAGCTAGTTTAGCAGTTATTAGAAAACGTCTAAGTAGAAAAAGAGATGAACTGATGCCACCCTGAGCTACGGAAGCCCAAATGTCCATATTTTCTGAAAATTAAACCTCCATAAACAGAAAATTCGATTCATCGATTTCATCAATTAATCAGTCAGCGTTTAGTTATTGTTTATCCACCAAGGAAAGAAAAAAAAACTAAATTTTAGCATGAAACGCTTTTTAAAAGATTTATTAAGTCAGAAGTATATAAATTTATACTTCTGACGCATAGCCTCTGCAACTGTCAAACCTGTTTCTGTGCCACGCCCTCCGCGCAGAGGCTCTGCAACCGTCGCCGCGCACCTCAAAAAAATCCTGACTACGCAAACCCGTGCAGACCTCAAGGGGAAGTGTGTAGACGAAAAGCCGCG